AAAAAAAAAAAAAAAAGAGATTGTTAATTAAAAAAAAAATTATTGTTCTTTAGCTGAAATTTTACCACACAAATTAGTTTCTCATTCAAAAATGTCTACACAAATTGTTTTGTGACATTGGTTGCAGTCCCCACAGTGTGTCAGCACACTCCCGCCACTCCAGTTTCCCCACGTCCATTCGTCCAGTTTTCCTGTCCCTTTCTGCCTTCACATCTTTGCTTTTGGACAGGTGTTGCACATTTGGTTTAGTATACATGACTGAACTAAGAAGCACATTCCTCACATGTGTTACTATTTGTTTTATAGGCCTGTCAATCTTTGGCTGAAAGGTGGACTTCGGGAGTGGCTTCAATTCTGAGTTAGTAGGGTGTCTGGTGGCCATAGGCTCGGGAGTTCCTCCAGTCTGTGTTGGACCAGTAAGTCTCGTTTTTTTTTCTGAATTTGAATTTTGTTCTACATTTATTCCTGCTCTTTCCAGGACCCTCTATTGTAATCGCTGTCAAAGCATTCAGTGGTACCATCTAGAGATTATTAACTCTTAATAAAGTGCCCCTGACTTTGCCAAACATATGATTTTCATTACTTTTTAGCAACTCTTTGAAGTTGAATAGTTTGTTGTTGTTAGTTGCTGTTAATTCCAACTTATGGCAACCTCATGTGTGCAGAGTACAACTCTGCTCCATAGGGTTTTCAAGGCTGTGACCTTTTGGAAGCATATAACTGAATAGTTTAGGTATTATTATATCCGTGTAACAGAAGAAACAGAAGCGCAGAGTTATTAAGCGATTTTTCGACAGGTCTCATGGCTAGTTAGTGCATAGCTGGAATGAAATCTAAGTTTTCTTTTAACTTCAATACCCATTTCCCAAAGGATAGTATTATTATATTTTTGAGAACCAGAAGTTCCAGGTAAAAAGGAAAGAATTTAATTAATTTTATGCCTTGACAATGAAAATAAATTATATATTGCTATAAATTCGTTTGTTGTTGTTACGTGCCATTGAGTCAGTTCCAACTCACAGCAATCCAGTAGGATATAGTAGAACTGCCCCGTAGGGTTTCCAAGGAGTGACTGGTGGATTGGAACTGCCTACCTTTTGGTTAGCAGCCAAGCTCTTAACCACTGTGCAATGAGGTCACTCAAAATATCAAGTTCGAGTGGGATACAATTTGTGTGGACTTCCGTTTGGTAGAGTCACACCAAGTAATTGTGAAGAACTGGGGCAAGTGAACGTCTCTTCCTGTTGTCTGCTTCCATGAAGACAATTTCTAAATGCAAATATTGCCTTTGCTATTTCCTGGGAACCACCTTTGTATTCCTTTTCAGTTAATTTCCTTATTGTGCTACTTGCATGTCCCTAAATCCCTCTTTCTGTATGGTTTTCTGTCCTGCCTCTTGTGTTTTCTTTTTTTCAGAGCGATTAGCATTTTTTTTTTCCTGAGTGTGAAGGAAAGCTAAATCCAGGGATTTTAAAGATTTACGATTTCATATCTTGATGGTTTACTACAATCTTATCACAAAGCTACAACAGAGCAAAATGGGTCTTTCTGAAGCATAAATGTATATTATACACTTAAACTGTGTGTGGGGGGCAGTGTGGGTGAGGGGGTATGGGTATGTTGGCTGAGCGTAAAGTAGAAGAGGGCTAGTTGTGGTGACCTGGGCTTGTAATGAGAGCAAAGCCTTTTAGTGTCTGTTTTTGCCTCAGGACAGTCATTGCTTCCTCTTTATGCAAAATTCTGTAGCCCTGGAAGAGACCAACTGTCCTGGTGCCAGCTGTTAGCAAGGTAGCATCAGGGAAGTATAAGAACCCTGCTGTGTGAAGAATAAATGAAAATAAAAATATGTGTGCTACTCTACAGAGCTATTAAAGTCATACCTCTAATCCTCCTCAACTCCCAAGGTCGTATGATTACAAATTAGGGTGACTACTTCCTTTTGATGTGGTTTCTTCCTAAATGTATAACCAGAGGAATGATAGCAGACAGAGATGATTCTGGGAATGATTCCTAAGACAGATAAGGATAATAGTCAATAATACACAGGTACATTTCATAAATGAAATGCAAAAATTCTAACAAAATATTAACTCATCACTTTCAAAAATACACTTAAAATAATATGTTCAAGTAAAGTTTATATCAAGACTGCAAGGATGATTCAAAATTAGAAAATTCATTGGTGAAATTCACCACATTTATAGACTAAAGAAAAGTCACGTGGCAAATAACATTAAATTAAATTTCTACATTTACTATAAAAACAGAGAATGGAGAACATCATTAATTTGGTATCAGTTGTAAACTAAATATCTATAGCACATATTACAGTTATTGGAGAAATGAAGTGCATTCTTTTTAATATTGGGAACAAGACAAGAATGAGTAATATCACTGCTACCATGTAACATACTACTGTAACAGTTCTAAGTTTTGTAAAGAAAGGGGTAAAATTATTATTATTTTCAAATGATATGATCATCTTTCCAGAGACTACTCTATAATCAACAAGTCTGCTAGATGCATTATCAATCTATAAAAATGCCATTGCTATATACCAGCAACATCCAACTAAAAAAATAAAGTAAGATACCATTCATAATAGTAACAGAAACTACGAATTATCTAGGAAAAAATAAGAATATAATAATCCTTTTGAGAAAACATTAAACTGTAGTAAAGAACATAGGAGATCTGCATAAATTGAGGCATTTTCCATGCTCTTCAACGGCATGTGTTAATATAATAGATATTAATCATAACTAAGTTAAGTTATAAACTCTTTATAATTCCCGTAAAAACTCTTATTGGCTCATCAATAACTAAGTAAACCTTTTAAAAGAAGAGTTAATTGGGGTATCTCTTTTAAATTAGTTATCAAGACAGACTATAAACATATGTTCTCAAAAATTTGATGTTATTGTCAGAACAGACAATGGGCCAATGGAGGTGAATAGAAAACTTAAGAAATGGACCAAGAAAGTGGCTTAAAAAACATTAGAAAAAAAACAGATTATCTAGCATATGGTGTTGGGAAAATGGCTTACTATATGTGGCTCATAAACATATAGTTTATGATATGCATACGAAAGCTGGACAACAAATAAGCAAGACTGAAGAAGAATTGACACCTTTGAATTAAGGCACTGGAGGAGAATATTGAATATACCATGGACTTCCAGAAAAACGACCAAATCTGTCTCGGAAGAGGTACAGCCTGAATGCTCCTTAGAAGAAAGGAACGCAAGAATTCGTCTCACGTACTTTGGACATGTTATCAGGAGGGATCAGTCCCAGGAAAAGGACATCATGCTTGGTAAAGTAGAGGGTCAGCAAAAAAGAGGAAGACCTTCAACAAGATGGATTGAAACAGTGGCTGCAACAATAGGCTCAAGCATAGCAACAATTGTGAGGATGGCACAGGAATAGGCAGTGTTTTGTTCTGCTGTACATAGGGTCGCTATGAGTCAGAACTGACTCAACAACACCTAACACAACACACACACACGGAGAAAACAAAAAAAATGATCCTTTTTAAGCATTACTTGTACAGGTGAACATAGATGAATTAAATGTAGAAAAGGATAAAATAATTTACATGCCACACACAATAATGCCATGATATGGGAATTTTGTGTTTGGTGCCAGACACTGTGTCACTATTTATGGACCTCATTTAAAACTCAGAATTACCTAAGAGGTAGCTAACGTTACTCAATACCCCAATTTTACAAATGAGCAGTTCCATGATCAAAGATGTGATGAAATGCCGTACAACTTGCAAGTAGTAGAACTAGGGAATAAACCCAGACAGTTTGGCTTCTAAGCCCTTGCTCCTAACCAGTATAGTTTACTGCCTCATCTGAAAGAAGGTGACAGAAGGATCTTAGAGGATTATACAGACCACAAAAGATGTAGTTAAAAGTATTAACAAACTTGTAGCGTGTTCATTATAGGTGCAGACACATTGATATACTAGTCACGGCACGGAAAAGTATTTGATGTAATATTTTCTACTTTCAAATGTAATATTTACTGTGCATTCTGATCCCTTTGTTTTATCTCATCACTTGTCTGTGAAAAGCTTTCCACTATACAAAGTATGTAAAATGTTACACTTCATCATGTAGGAAGTCTATAAGGAGGTCTAAATAAAATAGTTGCCTTGCCAGTCCTTGAAAGCTTTTTTTTTTTTTTTTCCTTTCCAAGGTTGTATTATCTTCCTTTTACCTGAATTTACTAAACAATGTCACTAGAATTCTTAGGAGTATTTGATTCAAACATTATTTGAGACTTCTGGCACTCTTGTTCCCAGTTTTCCCCTGAGTTTTACAAACCAGAGCTCAATTCAGGGACCACTTTTACCTCACAACTCGTTATGAGTAGCTCCCAGGCTTGAAACCTGACATCAGTTTGTTTCGTTTCTTTTGATCATTCTCCAGGTGTTTAGTCATACAGGCAGACATTCCAGGTTTGGGTTTTAACTAGCAGAAGAGGCAACCCCAGGTCATCTCTAGCAGTAGCATAAGTACTTCTAGTGTGTCCTGGATGGCATTTGGCCATTTCGGATTAAAGCATGAGTGAGCTACTTTTTGGAAGTAAAATCGTCCTTCTGAGAGGTAAATTACCTGCTGCCATTAGAATTTCTGTGGTCTCCAAATATTTGATTCTCTAAAATCACTTCTTAGTTGACAAAGAATATAAAGCCTTAATGTGGAAATTGCTTCCTTGGATAAAATGTACTCAACAGATATTACGTTTAAATTGTCTGTATACATGTGGCTGGGTAGATTAACTTTTAATCAAAACTTTTTAAAGTTTTTTTTTCTTTTGATTTGAATGCATTTCTTGGGGGAAGACATTGTATTTTATGTTGATAATCTTTAATAAAACGTTTGTGATCTCAAAGTCATTGTTATAATTTGCTTTTGGCCAATTTAAAACTATTAGCAATAGCCTTCCATCCTTATTTTAGTAATGCCTATATTAACACATAACTGTAGTGTTAATATTAGTAAAAATCATTAACATGGAAGTATACACATACTTATAACCATAGTTTTCACTTTCTATCAAAGGTAGTTGTAGTATAATATTTCCAAAAAGTCACATATATTGGAATTATACATGATTTTTTATTTATTTTATTTCATTTATTTTAGAACGAAAGGTAAAAAATTTATTTGAATATTAAATTGAATAAAATTGCTTTTGGAACAATATCAATATATGTTACCTTCTTAACCTTAAAAGAGACATATTAACTAAAGATCATTGCTCTCAATAAAAAGTTATCAGTAGAATTCTGAAAATCATGGATAAATTGATTAAACATGTAATTTTTAACACTGACAAGATAAAAATGTATTGCGATAATAAATGATTCACCTTAAAATGAAGAAATTATCACTTACTGTTGATTCTCAGAGCAGGATGGAGGATCTGCTTTATCTGTGGAAGACAGAATGTGTAGAGAAGGTTAGAGCAGTATATATATTACACTCACTTCCTGTTTTGACAAATTCTGGTTGTGCAAGGAAATATAAGTCACTAGGCTCTGAAGCAGGATTTGTCATACCAACAGTCTCAAATTTCACTGATGATTGTTTAACCATGACTTGGACATTCGTTGGTGATTCCTCACATGGCTTTTAAAAATAAATTACTGTGTCCTATTTCACTATGGTGCATTTATTCTTTGGTTTTCTGCACAGTTTGGCCAATCAATACCTAGTCAATTCTTAGCTATATCAACTTTTTCTCATCACTACATTAGAGTTTTCAAGATTACTTCTTGAGGGGTAAAGCAAAACTTAATCACTTTTATGAACTCTACAGAATAAAATATTTTCTTTCAGAGGTCTAAAATATTCACTAGTAACTTGTTGAATCTTTTTGTTTTGGGGAATAATTTAATCTTTTATCTTTGTAAATATAAGGTCACAATGTCTTTCAGAACACAATGCAAAAACACACCATAATTCATTTGTATTTCCAAGTTCTCCTGATATTAACTGTTTTATTTTCCAATTGCCTGAAATTCAGCATAACACTGACTTACATACTAAATTACCATCATTTGAATCCACTCATCTATGGAGGCTTTGATCATTATAAGCCTGTTTCTATATCTCAAAAACAAAGTGGTTAGAAGGATTATTTCAGGTTTCCTCTGTCTCTAAAATGCAATCATTTTAAATCCTATGTTGTTACAAATGAAGGAGTACAAATAAAAAATAAACAGCAAGTAGCACATACACAGCACATTGGCAAGCGTTTCTGACTACACAATGTGGTATATAATTCAATACCTTATTTTGTTCATTTTCCCATTCATACTTAGCTTTACTGATTTATGTACTATATATATATATACTTCTCATCAAAGTACAGATTAATGACGTATGAAAATTCTCACTAAAATTTCAAATAATTTTATTTGCTCATATTCAGGGAAAGTAGGCAAACAACAGCAATTATAGCAAAAGTTAAAAGCTTTTTAGTACCACCACCAATTTATCAATGAAGAATATTTGGCCTGCGTTTCTTTTCCATCAAGTGTGGTCTGTCCTTCGGAGTAGGAACCATTTACATATATACATATATTACATATACACATATATATTCCTACGTGTCTTAGGTCAGGTTCTTTAGAAGCAGAGCCTGAGACACAGCTTAGAGTGTCTGTAATTTTTGAGGAAGTGCTCTTCAAGAAAAATCTGTAAGGAAGAGAGTGAAGCCTGACAGGGAAGGATAAAGAGCTAAGGAGGGATATTATTGGTCTTGGGAAAAGTCTATCTTTGGACCAATCCATATGGATAGAGCTCCAGAACATAAATTGTGCCAAGGGGCATGCCCCTTCCACGTGAGACAAGAGGTGGCCTTTTCTCCCCTTGAATCTATGTCATTCAGTCATTGGTAGGGAGCA